ATGGAGGGAGGCCCTGCAGTGGGAACTGAGATAGCTGTGGATCGGTGGAGGGAGGTCCCGAGGTGGGAACTGAGACAGCTGTGGGTCCAGGGAGGCCCCGTGGTGGGAACTGAGACAGCTGTGGGTCCATGGAGGGAGGCCCCGTGGTGGGAACTGGGCTGTGGGGTCCATGCAGGGAGGTCCCGCAGTGGCAACTGAGACAAGTTTAAGGAATTGACTAGCAGCTGAACCCAGTGGCAGCTGCGGAGGAGCTTGGGGCTCGGGATGATGACTTTGGCAGCCACCTGGTGCGGGCACTACTGGAGTAAAGCAGCATCTGAGGAGATGTGGAGAAGTTCAGTTTGATGGTTTTGGTTTTGGTTTTGGTTTTTGGAGACTGAGTCTCGCTCTGTCACTCAGGCTGGAGTACAATGGTGCAGTCTTGGCTCACTGTAACCTCCGCCTCCCGGGTTCAAGTGATTCTCCTGCCTCAGCCTCCCAAGTTGCTGGGTTTACAGGTGCCCTTCACCGTGTCTGGCTAATTTTGTATTTTTCGTAGAGAGTGGGTTTCACCATGTTGGTCGGGCTGGTCTCGAACTCCTGACTTCAGGTGATCTGCCCGCCTCAGCCTCCCAAAGTGCTGGGATTACAGGTGTGAGCCACTGCATCTGGCCGGTTTGCTGTTTTTATCGTTTTGTATAAAGGCTAACTCAGCATCTCTCCAGCAACCAGGCTCAATGTGTGTGCCTTTTGTGACGTGCAGTACTCACCAGCAGCCCATATGCCTGAGATGCACATGTAACGAGCGCACTTTGTGTGTTTTCTAGAACTACACGCAGTACATCCCTCTGTCCATATATGACCTGCAGACATGGATGGGCAGCCCGTCGATCTTCGTCTATGACTGCTCCAACGCTGGCTTGATCGTCAAGTCCTTCAAGCAGTTCGCACTACAGCGGGAGCAGGAGCTGGAGGTGAGCGCTCTGGTTCTCGGAGAGCAGTGCTGGGTTTGCTTTTGTTTTCCCTGGGGGTGGGGTTTGGGTGGGGAGGTTGGGAGGTGTTGGACATTCTCTGAATGGAGCAGGGCTCAGAATGCCAAGGGCAGGATGGCATATTCTATACCGGGAGCTAGGGAGGCACTCAGCACACTTTTATTTTTGAAACATGTTCTGTTACCGCCCAGGCTGGAGTGTGGTGGTGCCATCTCCGGGCACTGCAGCGTCTGTCACCTGAGCCCAAGCAATCTTCCCTTCTCAGCCTTCCGAGAGGTTGAGACTACAGGTGCACACGCCATGCCGCCATGCCTAGCTAATTTTTGTAGTTTTTGTAGAGGTGGGGTTTCGCCATGTTTCTCAGGCTGGTTTCAAACTCCTGAGCTCAAGCAATGCATGTGCCTCAGCCGGCAAAGTTCTGGGATTACAGGCTTGAGCCACTGTGCCCAGCCCAGTACAAACTTACAGGCTTATTTTTACCTCTCATTTTACTCAATGTCATTTTTAATCCAAACATCAATTGATAACATTAATAGGGTTGATTTGTGCCCCAACAGTCTCTGCCTCCAAGATAAATGTGAAAATAAAGCAGACACGTTTATTTTAGGAGACGTGGACCCACAGCTTCAGTTCCACGGTCTTCACTTCCACCAGTGCCTTTGTTACTGCCCCAGTTTCTTTTTCTGTTGTGTTAAAAAAAAAAAAAATCCACGACAACCACTAAGCTAAAATGATAGAAAACAAACGAAAACAGCTGCCGTTGGTAGCTCCCACTTCAAAAAGCGGAGAGCCTCTGCACCGCTCTGATAATGAAGAGACATTTTGCTTAGTTGTTTTAATTAATATTTGATGTTTGAATTAAACAGTGAATTCTGAGGACAAATTGAAGAGGCAGTTTCAATTAAGAGGCCTCCATCTTGTGGCCTGCACAAGAGTGTCAGAATGAAACATTTTGCAGCCTCAAGGGGGTCATGAGTTCTGACTGGTTGCAGTATAAGAAATTCTCAATTTAGGAGCAAAAATGGTCTTGAGTATGTTTCCTCAAGCCTTTTTGAGTATATTCCATTTTAATGTATTATGTTTTCACATTTCATCAGAGGAAAGTGCTGAAACAATCGGCAACAAAATTTGAAATTCTGTTTGGTAGACTTTCATGTTAATGTGTGTAGAGTTGAATATTTTATATTTGTTAAGTCTTTATGTGAGACACTGAGAAAGAGTGATAAGTATAATGTGCTTTGTCCATGAAAAACAGTCCACATGCAACACGTTTGTTTGTTTTCTGTGATGAGGGAAAGAAAGATCAAGGTTTGTATGATCAAATTTTTTCCCTTGCTTTTAGGCATTTCATCTTGGTTTACCCAGGGGATAGGTTATCTAATAAGCATTAAGGAACTCAAAGCATTGAGGGGTAATTTATTTTTCCTTGCATCAAGTAATAAATATTGCAAAAAAAAAAGAGGCAGATTTTTACATTTATAATATGTAAATAAAAATGCCACAGAATCCTTCCTGAGTTCACCAGATTTATGGGCTGTAGAGTGGCTAAGGGAAAGACCAATCCATCAGCCTTAGTTAATTAAAACATGTTAAATAGAGACCCGCTCCCCTTTCAGCAGAAGACCAGCACCTCCAGCTCATGCATAATATCAAATGTTTGCATCCCAGCGCTCTGAGCATGTGCTCCGGCAGTACCGTGTGTGCTCGCTGTATGTTGCCAGGGATTAATCAGCCTAAGACACTGTTCATTTCATCAAGTGTAACAGAAAAGATTCCCATGCATCTTTTTTTAGGGAAAAAAAATGTTTAATTGACTCATTCCACACGAAAGAGATCAGATGAAAAATATGTTAACTGAGTTGGCAAATAGATGGCAAGGCAATGCGATACCGTATGTCTTTAATTAGCTCTGATTTTTATCTTCGTTCTTTAATTACAATGTAGATCAGTCTTGTGTGTTTCTATTACACTTACTATTATTGGTTATTGTTCACTTGGTCTCTTACATAAACAGTGGAAATTAAAATGGTACAATTAGCTCCTAACTAATATCTTAATGTTCATTTAGTCATTTTACTATCTGCTGGAGAAACAGCAGTCCTGTGCAGCCTGTTAGGGTTTTTCTTTTAAAATATTTTTTGCCTCTTTACAGCTGGTCAAATTCTTTGTAAATTTACAATATGTTTTAATACTTTTATTGTATGACATGTGAGCTGAAAGAAATGGACAGGTGAATGATTTGTTCTAGTGTTAAAGAATTGATTAAATGTAATGCAAGACAATGGTTATTTGAACCAGAAAGCCTCCAGATAATAAACATTAACACAAACATGAGTGACATAAATGTTAAGAGATGATGATCAGCTTTCATATTCTTAGTGGCACAGTGCTTGTCCTGGGACCAGGAGGTTTGTTTATTGTGTGCTTCTCTCTCAGGAGTGCCGTAGGTAGAGTAGAAGACGACTTCATCAAAGCACAGGTACAGTGTTGCACACACATCAGACCATCAGAGCCAGAAAACGGCATCTCCGTCACTCAGTAATCCTGCTTATATTTGTCATTGTGTCATAGTTCTTTGTAATTTAAAAATTAAGGATACTATTCAAGTCTCTCCGCTTTCAGTCTTCTTTTATAAATATTTATTTTTACCAAATTAGCATATGCCATGGTTTGAAAAATAATACAGAAGGTTTATGATGAATAAAAGAGTTCCTGGCCCCACACTTTCTCTGCTGAGAATCTGTGACCAAAGGCACCTCCTTTCCCTGTTTCCATTTCTGGTTCTTCCGAAGGGTGTCTCCTTCTCTGTAGATGACATGCTGAGACCACTGCTTCTTTTTATTATTATTATTATTATTATTATTATTATTATTAT